TTTGTAACTGCACCTACATGAGAAAAAAAAAATTTTTTATTTATATGCATTAGTTGTGGCGTAATTCAAATTTTAATGTTAGGATTTGCAATGATCGACGGGTGGTCGGATATTTTTTGGAGGGGAGTGTACATGATTAAAATCGAATCCGATCGATTTTATTAGAATCGATTACAATCCCTAAGCTTCGCAGCTTAAAAGAAGCGGAAGAATATTTATGATAAATGGAGTTGCCTAACTGCGTTTAGCATAAAATTGATGAAGTAGTACAGTTGATGTTGGTAGTAAGATTAATTACTTGCGACGGGCAATTACGAATGGCGAAGTAGCTGCGTAAAAATATTAAAATATTGAAAATGTCGGAAATGTCGGAAATGTCGATAATGTCAAAATTCTTTATATTATATTAGATATTCTTTAAATTTTTTTAAAATAGAAAAATAGTATTTAGAAATTTTGTATATAAACCCCGAAAATCCGCTTTGTTCAAAGAATATGGTTAACGAGTCTTGAGAAGAGATGTCCGAAATCTTGAAATAATAAATACCTTTACACTTTCAAAACTTTATCGTGTCTTCATATAGACTGAATAATAACCAACTACACAAAGAATCGTATTAAGTAAATTGCTGAATAAATCTTTATTTTAATCGTTGTTTGGTTAACCTGGTTTCGGTTTAAAATCGCTTTTCACCGGTTCAAATCTATGGAAAAGTGGCATTAGATTGATAAAAGTGCCATAAATTCTATAAAAATACATACATTAAATACTATTTAAAATCCTAAATTTAAATTAAAAATAAAATAGAATAATGTTTTAGTTCAAATAAATTATAAGTTCAATTTTTTTCTTTTGATCGTCATAATCAATTGATTTATTGTGGGGGTGGGTGGGTAAATATAATTCAGGTCTTTCGTTTATGTATTTATAAACAATTTTGTATTGTAAGCAGAAGGTATTTATTGAAAAAATTGTGAAGTAATAGACAAAATATTTATTTAATTATATTAATTAATCAGTGTTGCCTCAACGTCGACGCCTACACTTTCGCAATGTCAATATATTAAACTAAGAAAATGCCAATCACTAATAATAAAACTGCGAAATACAAAAATATAAAAATAATAAGAAAATCGGGATTTAAAAAATAAAAAGAAATTACAAAGTAAAGATTATATGTTAAAAATGGCGAAAGAGAAAATATCGCGAAGGAATAAAGGAAGGTTTTAAGGTGCATATATGCAATGTAAGAAGAGCGACCGTGGAATGTTTTGTTATTTTAGGATTTCCAACTCATATATACATCCTGGCAAAAGGACTAACTGCAAATATCGATAAAAATTTACAAGCGAAATTACTGTGTTTTTTCGGACGGAATTATATGAATGTAACAATAGTATTTTTCTAACCTTTTTTTACATACGAACTTAAAAAAGCAAAGCGAGGGATGCTAATGGTCACGGTCATTACCGGTGCTAGCCGCAGATTGTACTGCGTCTTAGTCTAACGCTGCGCCGAAAATCATGAAAATAATACATGTAATACATGTATCGTTTGATCGACTTTATAATATATCGAATAGTCTACTTTTCATTATATGTATCGTTTATAATTATATAAAAGCGTAGTATAGTACTAGTTAGCAATTTTATATAAATAGACCTGTAAGTTAACCTTGAGTCAACAGAGTTCGATTAGATAGTTTTCTGAATAAGTCTTGGGACTAGACTTATAACTCTACAGATTAATAAAGTTACTATTTTACACTTTCAACCTTCTTCTTGTCTTCATCATAGGATTGATCGTGATAATCTACTACACAAGTGAATCGTGATAATAAATTTTTTTGTTTGATAATCGTTAATTTCTCTTAGGAAAGGCCTTTGAGATAATTGTGATATCAAGTTTATTAATTTTGTTAGCTTGGTTTTGAGACGATTCTAGGTCTAACACCGGTCATATCCGGTCATAACCGTGACCGATATCGGTCAGTCAAAGGCTTCTGACCGAACAACCACGACTGACCATTATCATCCCTAAGCAAAGCACTAATCATAATATTAAAATAATAAACTCAATGATGTTATTCGATAATTGTCAAGAAAGCCAGATCCACCATGATTTGTGTAAGCCGTGTAATTCTAATCATTTCAAAGTGATTTTGGACGAACGGAAATAAGGACGTTAAACAATTATTTAAAAGGATACAATTAAATTCTGGAGATAATCGAAAGGATCCCAGAAAATCGATTGAAAATTCAAGAGTATGCAGGAAATGGTAGATTTGGAGTACAAGACGATTTGGAAAGATGGGTATATTGGATATTGGAATTATAAGGAAATGTGTTGGGAAGATGCAAAGAAAATTGCGTCGTTTCAGTTAAGTGTTTTGATGAACCTAAAGGATAATTGGATTTTGGACCAGTTATATATAACGAAACCTTTTCTTATTGTTATTTTTTTTTTATTTAAACAAAAAATTAATATAAATTATCGTGCTCTCCAGATGATGTAGACGATCTTGTTTTTTAATATTTTTTGTAATATCACAAATAAACTACAAATTAAACTTTTTATATCGATAATAAACTATATAA